ATATATATATATATATATATATATATATATATATATATATATATATATATATATATATATATATATATATATATATATATAAAATTAGCTTTCTGAGTACAGTGCTGGATCACAAGCACAGATGGTGTAATGTGATGATGAGAAAGACATAAAAGAGGAGAAAGTACAAGCCTCTTTCTCTTCCTTTCCATCTCTTTAATATTAGCTAAGTCAATGTTCTTGAACATCTCCAGAAAGATCCAAAGGAAGCCTTGGTTATTGCTGTGACGACCAGGACCATTTTCAATTTGGAGAGAGAGCATGAAATTTTCTTGACAAAGGGCGAAGAGGAATATGTGAAACATCAGCAAGCAAATGAGAACAGCCCCTTGGAGCCGGGAACAGCTTTTCCTTTAATTCAGGTTAAAAAAAAGGGGGGGGGGATTTCTCTTAACAAGTTATTTGTATGAAGTACACATTTTAAGTTTTAAAGCGAGTCCTCATCCAATACTCATGTACTAAATTAAAACATAGAATAAATGCAGAAGGGACATTGTAATTGGGAGTTTTTCACCAGCAGTGATTCTGGCTTGATCGCAATTTTTATATCCATATGTATGAAGATAATCAAGTTTTTGATTAGTGTTCAGTTTTTCCCTCTTTTGCCCATTAATTGTAATTCTAATGTATACTCCATTTTTCTAAGAAATAACTTCAATTGTTAGGTATTCTTTTTATGATGAAGTTACAGAAAACTTATGGGTATTTTATAATAGTCTTGTTTATAAACAAAAGCTGTTCACAAGGTATGATTAAAAAAAAAAGTCAAAATGTTGACTTGCTTATTTTTTATGTGGGTTGCACATGTATCACATAACAATAGATGGGGAACTTTGATCTCACAGTTGTGGCTGCAATCTTGACATTTTTGACCACGTTCTGCAAAGAATCATCTATTGCTGTTCAGGGTTTTTCCATCTTCAGAATTCGCTCCAGATCATTAATGTGGACATATTGTATTGAATGTATGAACTTTCAAACAATTGCTACTACATTTAAAATGTCATTTTTGCAGAGTGGCCATATATGGTCTTGCATTCAGAGAAACCTATAGTAATGCATGTCCCAAAGGTGCTTTTTCAAAAGGTAACTGGACTTTCTTTGTTTTTTCCCTTGAAGACCATTGCACTTCTCATCCAAGAAACTTGTTCATGAATTGAAGAAGCTTCTTGGATGAGAAGTGAAACAGCTTCTTCATGAATGGAAGAAGCTTCTTGAATGAGAAGCAAAATGTCTTCATGGAAAAAAACAAAGAAAGTCCAATTACCTTTTGAAAAAGCACCTTTGGGGCAACCATGACCTGGATGACTGAGAAGCGCCATAGACACATAGTAATGCATCTCTGCCTGCTCCTTTCAGGCGTTGCAGTTTGTGAACAAGAAACTTCTTGAAAGAGACCCCAAAGAAAAGAGCCTCTTTGATGTCATTGTTCTCTCCAATAACACTCCACAGAGTGGTATGCGAATAATCAACAGCGTGAAACATTATGGTAGGTTGCCTGTTTGAGTTGGTCACCCAGACTTTGAGCCAGTTATTTTCTTTCAGTCTCCCAGAATTGTTGTTGAGAAAATAGGAGGAGGGGCTGCTATGTATATACCTTGAGCTGCTGTGGTATATCAATCTGGTTTAATAAATATAACTGTGTAACTTTAATATCCTCATATGAGGGAAAACACTGAGTTTGAGAATTAGCTATTCCTCTGCCAACTCCATTTTTTTTAATCAGTTATGCACAGCCAAGGAGCCCTTCTCTTCTTTCCCTATAGTTTCAAATGTGTTCTTGCACCATTTCAATCTCCTTTAAGAAAAAAGCTCTGGAGGAGCCAGCTAACCACTCCATAGTTTTTAATAGTTGGATTGCACAAATGGGATTGTGATATATCTCTTTGCTGCTTCAACCTCTGTTTGTATTCCTCCTTTACCATCCTTATTTGTTCCTGGATTTTAAGGTTTGGAAATCTCCAAGTTTTGCTTTGTCAGTGATGAGGATTCTACCCAATATTTGAAAACCCACAATGTGAAACTTTTTCTCTCAGCTGACCCAAAAGATGTGTGCAACGCACTTCAGAGAGGTTTGTTCTTTTGTATTTTGCATTATATTTTGTTGCCATCTCCCTGATTATGTCCTGAGTTGAATATGCCTCCTCCATTATAGCCTATCACAAATTCTGAAAGGGCCTTCCTGTGAAAATCCTCCGTGCTCCTCCAAGATCATGCCAACAAGGAACAATATCTCCTCTGTGTTGGCTTTTCAATGTTGACATTCTGTCAGTGACTTATATCAGGTTGTTTTGTAGCTTAAACCCTGAGGGCAGCAAGTAGTGTTAGATGCACTCAATCCCAGTTGGTGTCACTGTTTAGCAGTGCAGGTTTTTCTGAAATTGGTTGTTATCAGGGAAGTAAGTCTATTTCTCATGAAAAAGGAATAGGCATTTTCTGTCATGCTGTTCAGGTATTTCAGTAGAACCATTACAAGCACGTTGTAAAGTACATTGATCTAGCACATTCTTCTCTAACTTGGTGTCCTATTTGACCTGCAACCCTCCCAGAATTTCCAATCAGTTGAGAATTCTGAAAATTCTACTTCTTGTAAAAGGGGAGAAGATAGGTTTTGAGGCCAAGGAAGGCTTTCCTGTCTCTCTTCGCCTACTCTGTGGTGCCTCTTAAGGAGAACTTTGATGACAAGAAAAGTTGTCAATCCTGGCCTCAGAAACATATGATGATTTGATGGCTTCTCCTGAGGGGTTCTATGCAGTCATAAAACATTTTAACCATTTCTGCTTCGTGCAAATAAATAATCCACATCATCTTCAGGAAAATCATATAATGATAAGGAGTGACTTCTTAAATTGGGACAAGAGCCAAAATGTCTCGTCTGTACAGGCAAGGTAACAAAGTCTATTTGCATTGCAGGAGTCTCAGCAGCCCTCATCTTTCAGCAGGAGATACAGGCTCCTAGAACCCAATTACGAATTGTCTTTGATGGTGATTCTGTACTCTTTTCGGATGAGACTGATCGTGTCTTTCATGAGAAAGGTCTTGAGGAAGCGGTAGAATATGAGAAAAATATGGAAACTGTACCCATGGGAGAGGTAAGGTTGCCTACATTCCCAAGAAGATATTCCTATCTTCTCTCTTCTCTCCAAGGGTGATACCTAAATAAAGCAGTAATTGGTTTGCCCCTCCCCCAACACTTCTTCCCAATACCTTCTCACTGCTGTTGCTGATCTTTTTAATGGCTACCTCACTCCAGTTTTCCCATGTCTTCCCATCAGCTTGCCCACCCCCTGGTCTTTCCAGTGTCTTCCTGCCACTGCTACTAGACTTCATGTCAGCCCACTCCTACCTTCAACTGTGTGTTTTACAACAATTGTAGAAATGGTATTTTTCATTCAGTTTAGCAAAGAATAACAAAGGATGTGTAACTTTAAACTTTTAATATAACTTTTAAAAAAAATTCGCAGCTGGTTAAACCAAAGTGAGCTGTCTGCATAATACCTCTGCTTTACCTTCCCAGGTGCCAATTCAATTCAAAGGCTAACTCATGAGGAATTTGTTTTAGTGCATCTATTTATGTTGACAAAGCCGCCTTCTATATGTTTGTTACATAATGCATTAATAGTTATGAAAATATTACTGAACTGAGCTATCAAAATACAATATAAAGTTCTTCCATATTGGCTAATGGATGGATTCAGATTCGCTACTTTACTGAATTGCCTTCATGACCAACCCTTATTGTTAATAGGCTAAAGTAAGATCCCCATGTTGATCATAATTACTAATTGTAAAATAAAAAAAACAATAGAGCTTATTTGTCCATCTCTGAGTAGAATAAATGGGTCTTCAGTTTTGCTCTCCAGCTGTCTGCAAAATAATACAGTACCGTTCTTTCTGCTTCCTGCCGTCTTTTCCAGGGCCCCCTGAAAGCCTTTGCTTTGCATCTTGGGAAGATGCGCAAAAAGTTTGGTCAAGAGGATTCTCCCATCCGTATCTATTTAGTGACTGCCCGCAGTGGCCATGATATGGGCATCCGGATCATCAAAACCCTTCGGGAATGGGGACTGTCGACTGATGAAGCCTTCTTCATGGCTGGAGCTCCAAAAGGTCCTATCCTCTCCAAGATCCAGCCCCACATCTTTTTTGATGATAATTTTCACAACATCAAAGGCGCTCAGGATGTTGGCATACCCTCTGCATTGGTCCCTTATGGCTGTCAGACGGGATCATAGGGTCACAGTGTTCTGTCAGTTAAGAATACCAATATTTCTAAGTACAGTAAAAGGGATACAAACAACCTTTTAAATGTACAGTGAGAAATGTTTAGAATAAATTACATTTATAGAAAATAGGAAGTGACTTTATCTGATCAGGGTAAAGTTCTTATTGAAAAAAAAAAGGGGGGGAGGCGAAATCAATGCTTAACATGTAGCAAATTGGTTCTTTTATTTGCCTGTGCATCTTATTTTCCATTGATGACATTTGGAGATTCTGTATTATTACAACAAAAGCTCATTCCGAACAAAACATTCTGGAGTTCTTTATTGTTCGGGAACATAGAGAAAAGCTACTTGCCTGGGACAGACTCTGCTTTCCAAGTGGAATTACTGTAATCATAACAATTCCATTCCAGCACCTCCATGAAAAATTAACTGTTCTCGCTAACAGCTTAAGTTCCCACGTGGTTGCTCCTGGTGACACCGATTTGCTGCAGGTCTTATAAAGAATGGGCTTTTCTCGTTTCTGGCTGTTTTAATCCTTTCACGCTGTTTGAATTGAATGTATCTGCTCCTGTTCCTGTATTCTGTAGGTCTTCCAGCTCCATTCTTTCCATCTGTTTCCAGATTGAGCTACTGAATTATGGCAGCAAACCAGTGGTTTGGCAGAAAAACAGGGGGATGTTTAAACCCTGGCGTGAGTTTAGTTTATCAGAAACCATCACCACCACATCTGCAATTCCCTAAAAAAACCTCTCCCCAACCCCCAGAAATCCATGCCCATCATGTTGGTGGCGTAATTTTATTTTGTGATTGTTGCCCAAAGTGACAGCCACTTCGCCCTTTAGCAACTTCCTTGGAAATAATTTCACACGAGACCTTGAAAATTGTCTACTCTTCACACGCAGGGAAGAATTTTAAAAAGTTGAGAGTGAAATTCTGAAGTAGATTTTTTTTTTAAAAAAAAAAAATCAAACTTAAAGAAGAATTTGAACTTACTTTAAAATGATGACTTTCTTTAGGCATATGTTATTCGTTTAAAGATATTAGAAAATGGAGCTTAAATAATTTAAATAGTTCTAAGCGTCAACATCTTGCCTAATCTTGGAGAAAGCTAAGCAGGATGACTTACATATAAATCACTTGTTACCATCTGATAATGACTCTGGTTCCATTTCATTTTTGTAATTTTGTAGTTTCTCCTATATTCTCCTATATTTTTACATTTATTTTTATTATTGTCAGTCCTATTAAACTGAATAAAATCACTACTGAAACGGTCAGTAAATGGATGGGATGGTAATTGTTCTGTTCTTCTGTAATTAAAAGGCATATTGTGACCATTCCTGCAGCAGGAGACCCTGGTAAGAGTAATGCACTCCCTTGCATTACTCCAGTATAGACTACTGCAATGCATTGTGCACGGGATTGCCTTTGAAGACTAATTTTTAAGACCCCTGGTGACACAATGGTAGAATGCAGTATAGCAGGCTAACTCAACCCACAGCCAGGAGTCAACGGGGCTCAAGATTGACTCAACCTTCCATCCTTCTGAGGTTGGTAAAATGAGATGCCGGATTGTTGGGGGCCATATGCTGACACTGTAAACTGCACTGAGAGTGCTGTAAAGCATTATGGGGCAATATATAAGTCTAAGTCAAGGATCTTCAAACTTGTTCCTTTTATGACTTGTGGACTTCAACTCCCAGAATTCCTCAGCTAGCGTTCCTGGCTGAGGAATTCTGGGAGTTGAAGTCCACAAGGCATAAAAGGGCCATGTTTGAAGACCCCTGGTCTAAGTGCTAATACTATCGCTATTACTCAGAAGCAAGCATTAGTGAAAAATGCAGTGACCCACTTGCTGATAGGTGAGAGCCATTCCAACCATGAAATTTTGATTTTGTAGATGCTGAATTGGCTTCCAGTGGGCTTTAGAATAAAATGTAAAAAAAAAAAAAACCTTCTTTAGCACTCTCATTTTTGCATAGAACTGACCCCTCTCAAAATACATTCTGTACATCTGCTATATGTAGGCAAGCTGATAAATTTAAAGGTTAAATATTGTGAATTTGAGTATAAGTGCTTCCAAATTTCTTAAATAGATAGCTCATGCTAAATATCAGATGTGAAAAATGTATCTTCTGCCACTTATTTTGCAAGAACTTACTTAGGTTTTAACATGTGATGGTTGTGTAATGGCAACACACATATCTAGTTTAAAATAACTGTCAGTGAAGGGAATTAACTTCTGCATTAAAATTATGTTGTTGACTGTGCAACATTTTTATACCAACATGTATACTGATACTGATAATTATGAACTCTTCATAAAGGAATAGTTTAATACTTAATATAATATAAAGAGAATACTTTAATAATCGACTAAAACTAGTGCTTGCAAAAAATGCATTGGAGTGATGCTTATTACAGGCAAAACAATTACTACAAGCAGAAGCATCAGAAGCTATAAGAATGAGGACATTCACTGCATTAGCTGAAAAGCAGCTAGGTATATTCTTTATAAGATACACAAATAATGGCTTATGGCAGTGGTGGCGAACCTATAGCACTGGTGCCAGAGGCGGCACTCAGAGCCCTCTCTGTGGGCACACATGCCATCTCCCCAGTCCTAGACCTTCAGCTGCGTTTTATAAAACCTTTTCACTTTAGGCTTCCGCCGCCGTGTAAAAACAAAAAGGTTCAATCAATCAGTCAATTTCAACTTCTCGCGGGAAAAAAAAAGATCTTGCAAAATTGGAATTGATTGATTGAACTTTTTAATCCCACCCAGTCTGCCGTTATCACCGCAGCCACGCCCACCCAATGGGCCACACCCAGCTAAAGGGCCACACCCACCCGATGATGCATAAGTGGGTTTTGGGTTGCAGTTTGGGCACTCAGTCTCTAAAAGGTTCGCCATCACTGGTTTATGGTTTTATTCTATTAAAAAACTTTAATTTTTACAGAAATTATAAATAGTTTCTAATGTAGAGATTTTCAGTCTTTAGAAACTTAAGGTCCACTTACTTATATCAAAAATCTAAGCCCTACCACGATAGAAGTCCAGGAATTTAATTTTTTATTTTGTGAAAAAGTTAATGTATTGACAGGAAATCTGCTATTTCAAGAATGAGATTTCAATTATCAAGTGTTTCACTATAAACAATATATTAGTCCACTTGTAGACAACCACTGATCTAGATAACTGATAGATCAATCAGTCTGCTATCTAAAATTGTCCACCAGAAGACATCATATAGCTCTTTAGCACAATGATTATGTTCTGTTTCTACTTTTTGAAATATAATTAAATAACATTTCAAATATTATTTTGCTTGTCTGTGGGGGTTAGATCAGGGGCAGTATGTTCAAAAGGATATATGTGCATTTTAAATGCTGTAATCACAGGCTTCTTCTGGAATTAGCATTTAACTAGCTGAAAGGACAAAGCAAGAGTCAGGATTAAGAAGAAAGCCAAAATGAGATCCAGGAAAATCAGTGGTACAATAATATGCTGTAGGTGAAGGACACAACCTTAACTGGCATAGGAAGCCATTTACATTCCACTCTATCCAAGAATATCCTGTGAATATTCTGAATTAGAATAGAATAGAATAGAATAGAATAGAATAGAATAGAATAGAATAGAATAGAATAGAATAGAATAGAGCTGGAGGTCTTCTAGTCCATCCCCCTGCTTAAGCAGGAGAACCTATACCATTTCAGACAAGTGACTGTCCAGTCTCTTCTTAAAAATCTCCAGTGATGGAGAGCCCACGATTTCTGGAGGCAAGCTGTTCCACTGGTTAATTGTCCTCACTCTTAGGAAGTTTCTCCTTAATTCCAGATTGCTTCTCTCTTTGATCAGTTTCCAACCATTGTTTCTTGTCTCGCCCTCTGGTGCTTTGGAGAATAGTTTGACCCCCTCTTCTTTGTGGCAGCCCCTCAAATACTGGAATACTACTATCATGTCACCCCTGTTTCTTCTTTTCTTTAGACTAGCCAAATCCAAGTCCTGCAGCCATTCTTCATATGTTTTAGTCTCCAGGCCTTTGATCATTTTAGTTGCTCTTCTCTGAACTTTTTCCAGAGTCTCAAATGAAGAAATATACTCTAGAAACTAGAAATGCAGCATTTAAAAGATGCCACCTGCAATTTTATGGTTCACCATTCAAAGCAACTATGTAAAGCTCTTGTACAGCTCTTGTACAGTTTAGTGAGATGTATGTTCCAGTCATTAGAAAATTGTAATAATCTCATATTTAATTTGTAGACTGCAACCTATAAAATAATTGTGTGTGCCAAAATAAGTGCCTATGTGACACTGGATATAGCCAGCAATTGGACACAGCTCTCAGATTTGGAGAGAAAAAAAAGTACAGCTCTTCCTAGATTGAATAGCATATTAGAAAAAAAAGTATGTTAGTTAAGAAGCATAACATCTATTCCCTTAAGTGAAAATTGCTAGATAAGAATGTCAGGTAAAAGTCTTTTTTTATGTTAGTGAATTTCACATATACAGAGAATAGTGTTTTAACTCATCTTAGCATTTAAAAAAATAAATAAATAGTGGAATAGTAATTTACTCAAAAAGTCTTGTTTGCTGTATACCAGGGGTGTCAAACTGCTGGCCCGCAGGCCGGTTTCATCATAACAAAGCCGCGCCCACCCTATTGCCGGCAATGCAAAAAGAGTCGCGATACGTCGCATCATGTGATGTGGCGAGCTTGACACCTGTGCTGTATACTATATACCCATTCCACAATTATCATTTTAGGTAGAGCTTAGGTGTCACAGAAATCAGCATAGCCTTGACTATATCTTAAAACATAATTTAGAATCATCATCACATTCTTGTATTATAATGAAGGCCTCTTATTTATTATAAATGTAACACACACAGAGAGAAAGATTGTAATCATGAAACTATTTCATTTTTTTCTTCTCCCATCAACATTCAACAGCCATAGTCTGGATCTTGAAGAATTGAAGTTAGGTGCATTCCATAGCAGCATGAAATTAACTTCTTTAATTAAGGAAATTGTGTTCCCTAGGATTTCCTGACAGTGCTAATGGCGACTCAAACATCTATGCAAATGGAAATTAAACAAGGCAGAAATGCTGGGCAGAAGCTAAGATCTTGCAGGCAAAAGTGAGAGGTTCTTCAGCAGCATGATGGGTAAAGGGAAGGAAGCACTCGCAAAGCTCAGGTGCCCGGTCACCCTGAGCAAGCAAGGTTGCTTAAGTGCAAAGGCAGAAGGAATAAACAGTCATGTGCATCAAACAAAGCTTCATCAGCACATAGACTGATGAGTGACCAAGCAAAAAGTGATGGAACATATCAGGGAAGAGGGAAAAGTTTGGGTTTTCTTTTTTTTCTTTTTCTACTGGTTCAGCAAAAATTTTGAGCAGCTTGCTTAATTTTATCATGTAAGGAGAGGGATCGTAGCTCGAAAGTAGGAACATGCTTAATCACATCTGCATGAAAACCAGGCAGTGACAATATTGGGTTCCTTGCCCCAGTGAACTATTCTGTGGTTAAGTTCATGTGACATGCTGAAACAAGATTAATGGAACACATTGCTGAGTTTGCATAATACATTCTTCCCAAACTGTTTTATGGTACAATATAATGAGGTGATTCATACGAAGTGCTAAGACAATGCCTTAGGCACAAAGCCAACTGCATGACTTGGGGCCAGTTGCTGTCTTTAAGTCATGGGAAGAAGGCAGTGGCAAACTACTTCCCAAAAATGTGTCCAAGAAAAGTGCATGGACTTGTCCATGTAGTTGCCAGGAGAATGACTCAAAAGCACCAAAACAACAGCCACAACAACCAAGAGCTAGTTCATACAACATGCTAAGTCAATGGTGGACCTTCAATATCAGAATGAACTACAATCAAACCCCATTTTCACCTAGTCCAGTGGATTCCAAACAATGAAAGCTATTTTCAAATGTGCATAATCAATCAGTTTTTGTAACTTACTCCAAAAACATATGACATCATATGAATTTCTTTTTATTTTTTACCCTCAAAACACTCAGTGGAGTAGAGTGAGCAGAAAATATTGCCTAGTTTAAAGCCACCCAGAGGAGATTATGACTTCATGAAGACTTCAATCTAGATCTCCCAAAACTTGCTGCAGTGTATACTACAAGACTACCTTACACTAGCCTTCCCCAACTGAGTGCTCTCCAGATATACTCTTATTAATTGCAAATCAGAATGGTTCTTGGCTATGCTTTACGTACAAATTAGTCCATTGACACAAATCAAGTTAGTAA